GCAGTGTCATTGGAAGATGTCGGTAAGGAATTCCACATGTGGGTTATCTCCTGTGTACAGCTAGCAGTGGCGTGATGTTGACGAAGCTTTTGCGAGGAATATTACTTGCTACCCGGTAGGAGGTAGTGTGTATGATTTTGGCTGGAGATTCAGAATGTTCATGAAAGGCTTAATAAAAGACTTCGGGAAGTCTGGCAGGTTAACGGTGTGAGACCTTGGTAATTGAGAAGGAGAAATCCTTATGGGTTCTAATTTTATATAATTTCAGCTTAAGGCTAAGTGGGGGAGTCTGCTATCGACGAGTTGATTGCACGTTTATGGGTCGTATTAGTTTCGGTTTGGGGTATACCGGTGAATCAGTTATGACTTGCAGAGGTCGAGATCGAGGATGACTCGGGTAAAGGAATTTCTTGACACAAGTTGTATTACACTGTATGGTTATAGGAGGACCATAAAATAATTGAGTAGTTATTCACAGAGAATGTAGTGTACATGGAGCGGGAATTTGCTCGGTTGCATAGGAGTGTGGGTTACTCTTTATTCCCTTGCACAGGTCGTTTCGGTCCGTTTAGTCGGTTAATTCGAGATTTGAGTAGAGTGGATGACTCTCGAGAATGGTTCCAATGGATTCAAGATTTATAATCATGGCTAGAAAACTGGGAGTTGCATTGAATGGTGTTGAGACTCGTGGCATCTTATATCATTATGAATTATGCATTTCAGTATCAAGAAGGTGAAGGAAACAGTTTTATGTTCACATAAAGTCTCTTCGGAGTAAGCATTTTTGGTTGTGGAACCTTTGGGATACATAAAAAGGGAATTCGGTGGCTTATAAGCCTTAGGGCGGCGTGATTCTATGCTAGAGTTCGTGGGGTAAGTTTTAGTTAAGGATAGTAGTGTTCTAACAAGGAAAAAGTAGCAATTTTGAAGGCAATTTAGAAAGAACTTGGAGAAATAAGACAGCTTGGTTATTTGCAAATGGATTTCAAAGTGTTCATGATGGGTTATACCATGGTTTAAACCGGATATTTTCTACCGATATACGAAACGTGTTGTGTGTTATGATTTTCTCCTAGAAAGAAGCAAAAAAGAGGTTTCTGACTAATAAGGTATGTAATTTGCTAGTGACTCAAAGTTGATAATGGAATTCTTATGCTTGTCACATGATGGCATAATAGATGTGGTGTGTTTTGCGGGAATAGGATTTACATGTACAAGGTCACAGTTCAGTTTTGAAGGGAAGGACATAAATTCTTAGGCAGTATGAACGGTTTTCGATGACCAGGTAAATTATATTGCTATCGGGTATAGCTTGATGAGAGTGTACATTTCAGAAGGGGCTGTGTGTTTTGATTTATGGGTACTTCGCTGGTATTGCGGCACTCTCCTGGTTGATCGACTGTTGATATTCAAATTTTTGCCAGGTGGCACGAAAGAATTTTTAAAGTATTTCTCGTGGGATGATTGTGTATGAGAGAGGTGTTAGGCATTCGGGCGGTGGAGGTGGAATCAAATATGGTGATTCATGTGTTCTATGGAATTGGAGATTGGGAGCTCTCAGGAGCAAATTGTTTCATGGTTGTGGACTGTGAAGTTGTGGCTGTAGCTAGCCAGATGATAGAAGGTGTTATGATTCCGTCATTGTGGACTTTCGGAGGTTGTTTATCTATTGGTGGCTGACCATAGTTGATTTGGGGGCCATTGGTAGGCCCAATTAGGATGTGTATTCTACACCGAGCCGGATTGATTGGCTCCATACTGCTATTGTTGAAGGATGTACCATTCGGTTGATGTGAAGCTTCTTCGTGTTCTGAAATGATCTATGAGTTACTCTTCTATGCTAAAGAACGTAAGTTGTTGTATAAAGATTTTCCACAATACTTCGTATGGTCATCTACCTACAAAATGTGGACTCGACGGCAACGAGGTCATGTTATTGGCCGCACTGTAACATGCCATCCAATAGAAGGAGAAAGATATTACCTTAGATTATTACTAATGAATGTGAGCGCACCAAAATCATACGAAGATCTTCTGAGAGTAAACGGGATATGTTGTGACACATTTAGAGAATCTGCGGAAAGAAAAGGGTTGTTGCACTGTGACAACAGCTTGGTTAAATGTATGTCAGAGGCTGCATGTTATCAAATGCCTTATAGTTTAAGATGTTTATTTGCTACAATTTTAGTACATTGCAGCCCTGACAATCCAAGGGAACTGTGGAAACAATTTGAAGATTCAATGTCCGAAGACTTTAAGAACCTAGCCAATATAACGGCAAAAGATGTCCACCTTGCTGTCCTAAATCACATCAATGATATATTACATTCTATGGGCCGTGATATTAATGAGTTCAACCTTGTTTCAGAAACTATCACATCTTCGAAAATGGCGAATGAAGCGAAGGAAGTATATTTCGAAAGAAACATCATTGTGAGCGACGAAGATTTACTGTTGCATAGAAAATTAAATATAGAACAGAAAATGGCATACGACGTAATCCTTCAGAGATTATTTGCTAACAAATCAGGAGCATTTTTCATTGATGGTCCTGGAGGAAGTGGTAAGAAATTCTTATATTGTGCCTTATTAGCAACTGTGAGATCTAAAGGATTTGTAGCATTAGCAACAGCAACTTCCGGAGTTGCAGCTTCGATCCTTCCAGGAGGACGAATAGTTCATTCACGTTTTAAATTTCCAATTAATATTGATGAAAAGTTTTCTTGCAATATCAGCAAGCAAAGCTCATTGGCGTCTTTGATTCGCGATGCAAAAATAATTGTGTGGGATGAAGTATCCATTGCCAAGAAAAATATGATTTAAGCTTTAGATTTTCTTTTGAAAGATATAATGGACACAAATGTACTTTTTGGTGGAAAAGTTGTTGTGTTTGGAAGAGATTTTAGACAAACTCTTCATGTGGTTCGAAGTGGAAAAAAGGAAGACTTCATTCGTGAAAGCATATTAAACTCCGAAATATGGAATGAGCTTGAAAAACTTCGATTATCAGAGAATATACGTGCGAAAACGGATCCCTCTTTCTGTGAATATTTGATGCGGATTGCAAATGGAAAAGAAAAGACAAACATGGATGGTAAAATAGAAATTTTGAGGTCTTTCATTGTTCCTTATATTACTGAAAAAGAATCGTTGGATCTTTTATTCAACATAATATGTCCTGATTTGCATACATCTTTTCACGATTCTTCTTTTTTAACTTCTCGTGTTATTTTGACGACAAAAAATGACTTTGTTGATGAAATAAATGATAGACTTATAGTTCAATTTCGGAAAGACGCCAAGACATTTATTGCAATGGATGAAACTGTTGAACCAAATGATCAAAGCCAGTTTGAGGATTTTCTACATTCATTAAACCCTACTGGTTTACCTCCTTACAAATTAATTTTGAAGGAAAATTGTCCCATTATGTTGTTACAAAACTTAAATCCTTGTGAAGGTCTATGCAATGGTACATGTGATGACCCAAAAAGTCATATTATGTTTTAGAACTCGAATATGCGCTCTTAAGCCTTAAAAATCTCATTTTTACCCTCCTCGATTTGCGTGTGCAGTTCGGCAGGTTTTCGGAAAGCTTTTATGTTGAAAACTAATAAAAATAAGAATTTTTGCCTTAAAAGTTAATTTTAGTTGACTTCGGTCAACATTTTTGGTAAATGGGCCCGGATCCATGCTTTTACGGTCCCGGTAGGTCCGTATAAAATTATGGGACCTGGGCGTATGCCCAGAATCGAATTTGGAGGTCCCTAACTTGAGTTATGATTTTTTGATGAAAATTAAAAGTTTGAAAATTATTTGTTTTTAAGAATTGATTGATATTTGGCATTGTTAGTATCGGGTCCGTATTTTGGTTTCAAGGCCCGGTACAGGTTCATTATGATATTTAAGATATGTCTGTGAAAATTGGTGAGAAATGGAGTTGATTTGACGTGATTCGGGCGTCCAGTTGAGAAATTAGAAGTTTTAAAGTGTTCTTGAGAGTGNGCGCGCGGGCCGGGCTTAGAGCGCGTGAAACTCATCACTACCTCGTAAGGGCGTTGAGACCATAGCATGTTACACGAAAGCGCCGCTTTCTCTGTAGTGTTGTCACACAGCTGCCCGCCTAGAAGAGCAACTCGCTCTGTAGTGTTGTCACACAAGATAAGCACGCCGCCCGCCTGCTGGCCGGGCGAATCGAAGTTATCTTCCGGTCAACTGTCCACCCAGTCAAGTGCAAAAAACACAGTAGAATCACGCAACGCACGCTGCTGGTGTGCTTCCTGCTCGCGAGGAAAGAAAGAAGAGCGACAGGGTTCAGTTCAGATTTGACTGTTTGCAGCATGGGAGCAGATTCCCCAAAAAATCCCACCCTGCCCGACATCGTCACGAGTAAGCCCCCTTCGCGAAGGTCCTCTCGCGAACGCGAAGAGTAATCTGANTGGTCGTTCCTTCAGCGCGAACGCGAAGGCCAGAGGGGAGTGATCATCATGAACACGAGTTGGGTCTCGCGAAGGCCAGAGGGGAGTGATCATCGTGAATACGAGTTGGGTCGCGCGAACGTGAAGGTTTGGCAGCCAGTACCCTTCGCGAATGCGACAGTGCTCTCGTGAACGCGATGAACACTGTCGCCTAGCACTTAACAGAACCCAAAACGGGATTTTTGCCAAAAAACTCATTTTTCTCAAAAACCAAACGGTGAGGGGCGATGTTTCAAGAGTTATTCCTTCCCCAAATTGTTGGTAAGAGATTCTAAACCACCTTCTTTCAATTACCCATTACATTTCTTGAATTTTCAACCTAAGATCTAGAGTTTTCATGGTAGAATTAAGGGTTCGGGTAGAAAATAGGGATTTCGGGAATTTGGGGATTTAGACCTCAATTTGAGGTCGGATTCCAAAACTAATTACATATTCGGGTTCGGGGGTGAATGGGTAAAAGGATTTTGGTCCGAACCTCGGGCTTTGACCAAGCGGGCCCGGGGTCGTTTTTTGACTTTTTGGAGGAAAATTTGGGAAATTTAATTTATGCAATATAATTGATTCTTTTAGCAATATTTGATATTATTGAGTCATTTTTGAATAGATACGAGTGGTTTGGAGGTGAATTTCAAAGGAAAAGCTGTGATTGAGAATTAAGTGGCATTCGGAGCGAGGTAAGTGTTGTGTCTACCCCTAACTTGAGGGAATTAGGAACCTTAGATTATTTGCTAAGTGAAATTCATGTGAGCGGCGTATATGTGAGGTGACGAGTACCTATGCGCCGCCAATTTACCTGTTTTTCCATGTTTCTCTATTTTTCTGATATTGTCTCATTCCTATGCCAAATTGCTACGTGTTATACTAGTGTTGTTCAAATTATCGTTCTTATCATGTTTACGAAATTTTCTGATGATAATTGAGTTTTTATTTCAAGTTGAGATTGATATTATGGAACAAAATGTGGAAGTAAGGTTTGTACTTATTATTCTATCTCAATGTTGTTATTTATGCATTGCATTATGGTAAGGGAGAGTGTTAATGCACGAAGGGTGATGTCGTGCCATATTGTGAGTATTAATGCACGAAGGGTGATGTTGTGCCATATTGTGAGTGTTAATGCACGAAGGGTGATGTCGTGCCATGATATGAGAGTAAAAGCACGAAGGGTGATGCCGTACATTTTTCTTTACTGTATTCACTATTGTTGATTCATGATATATTGACTGCTCCGGTGATCATTCTGTTGTAGTTTTTTATCTTGTATTCCCCTCAGTATGTCTCCTCTCCCGACATTTCCTGTTTAGTTCTTCATTTCTGTTATTTGCGTATACACTATTAAATTGTACAGGTTGATTGTAGGTGCCTTGCCTTAGCCTCGTCACTACTTCGTCGAGATTAGGCTCAACACTTACCAGTACATGGGATCGGTTGTACTAATGCTGCACTCTGCACTTTCTATGCAGATTTTGATACCGGCTCAGGTTGATCATGATTTGCTATTGGTCCGCTATCCGGAGACTCAAGGTAGATCTGTCGGCGTTCACAGACCTTGAAGTCCCCGACTATCTTTTTATGTCCTACTATTTTCTTTCATTCAGACAGTTGTATTTCTTTCAGATTATTACTTGTAGTAAATTCTAGAATGCTCGTGAATTGTGACTCCAGATCCGGTAGTAGTAATTAATACAGTTTTATGATTTCACTTATTATATTTTATTTTAGTTAATTATTGTTATTTACTGAATGGAAATAAGGAATTGGTTTAATGATTTTCTAACGTTGGCTTGCCTGGCAAGTGAAATGTTAGGCGCCATCACGGTCCCGTCGGTAGGAAATTTCGGGTCGTGACAGTTGGTATCAGAGCACTAGGTTACATAGGTCTCACGATCCACGAACAAGCTTAGTAGAGTCTGGAGTTTCGGTACGAAGA